ATGCGATAGGAGGGCTAGGTCATCTGTGAAGTCCAAATCGTCTAATTGGTTCTGAGCTGTCCATCGTATGCCGTGTTTTCCCTCAGATGTCGAGGTCTTCATAATCCAGTCGACCACCAGAAGAAAGAGGAAGGGAGAGAGTAGACAGCATTGTCTTACTCCGGTCCTTACTTTGAATGCATCTGTCAGCTGTCCTTCATGCACTACTTTGCACTGTAGTCCATCGTATGAGTTCCGGATAATGTTGACAATCTTCTCAGGAACTCCGTAGTGTCGAAGGAGTTTCCATAACGTTCTCCTATCTACACTGTCAAATGCCTTCTCATAATCAATGAAGTTGATGTAGAGTGACGAGTTCCACTCAATTGATTGTTCGACGATGATCCTCAGTGTCGCAATTTGGTTTGTGCACGACCGGTCCTTACGGAATCCAGCTTGTTGATCTCGAAGTTGAACATCTACTGTGTCTTTCATCCTGTTCAGTAACACTCTGTTAAAGGCTTTTCCTGGTATTGACAGTAGTGTAATGCCTCTGTAATTTTCACACTTGCTCAGGTCTCCTTTCTTTGGAATCTTGATGAGGTGTCCTTCTTTCCAATCCATCGGCACTTGTTCATCCTGCCAAATCTTCTTGAATAGAAGATGAAGCATGCTTGTAGTTACTTCGATGTCTGACTTCAACGCTTCAGCTGGTATATTGTCGGGTCCTGCTGCTTTCCCGCTCGTGATTTGTCTGACGGCCATTCTGATTTCTTCTGTCGTTGGTGGATTGACATCTATAGGAAGATCTGTGTGTGCTGCTTCGATGTCCGGTGGATTCATTGGAGCTGGCCTGTTCAGGAGTTCCTCGAAGTACTCTGCCCATCTGTTGCGCTGTTGTTGAATCTCAGTGATTGGTCTTCCTTCTTTGTCTTTGACTGGTCTCTCTGCTTTACTATATTTCCCTGCTAGTTTTTTCGTTGTATCGTAAAGCTGTTTCATATTTCCTTCTCTTGCAGCTTTCTCCACCGTCGTTGCTAGTTCTTCCACGTATTTCTGCTTGTCGGCTCTAACGCTCTTCTTCACATGTTTGTTTGCTTCTATGTATTCAGCTTGTGCTTGAACTTTCTCTGCTCTTGTTCGACTGTTGTTAATTGCTGTCTTCTTGTTCTTCCTTTCTTTGATCCTGTCCAGTGTTTCTGTAGAGATCCATTCCTTGTGATGATGTTTCTTGGGGCCCAGAACCTCTTGACACGTTGAAGTTAATGTTTCTTTGATACCTTTCCAGTTATCCTCCATAGTAGTTTCTTCTTCCTTCAGTAGATCCTGTAAGGCTTGGAACCTGTTGTTGAGAGCTACCTTGAATTCATTGAGTTTGTCAGTATCTTTAGCTTCAGTTTCAAATTGGCCACAACCAGGTGGTGGTCTGAAGCTATGTCCGCTCCTCTCCTGGTTCTCGCATCTTCCATTGTCCTTCAGAACTTTTTATTGATGCAAATGTGATCTATCTGGTTCTCTGTGGTGTGGTCCGGTGAGATCCATGTAGCTTTGTGTGTACGTTTGTGTGGAAATGTTGTACCGCCTATGACCAATTTATTGAATGCACACAGATTTGCAAATCTTTCCCCGTTTTCATTCCTCTCTCCCAGTCCATGTAGTCCCATGATGTCTTCATATCCGGTGTTGTCCATTCCGACTTTGGCGTTTAGATCTCCCATCAGAATGGTGAGGTCCTTCCTTGGGCACTTCTCTATGATTGATTGCAGCCTCTCATAGAATTGATCTTTAACGTCGTCGTTGATATCATTGGTGGGTGCATAACATTGGATAATGTTCATTGTGATCCCCTCCTTCTTTGTTTTGAATGATGCTTTGATGATTCTGGATCCGTGAGATTCCCATCCTACAAGTGCATTTCGTGCTACTTTGGATAGCATTAGAGCAACTCCCTGAGTGTGTGGAGCATTTTCCTCTTCGTGACCGGAGTATAGCAGCATCTCTCCCGTATTTAGCCTTTGTTGTCCAGCTTGGGTCCAATGGGTTTCACTGATTCCCAGTACTGCCAAGTTGTATCTCATCATTTCCGTTGCTATTTGACTGGTCTTCCCGGTCTCCCACATTGTCCGGACGTTCCATGTACCTATAAAACTTGTTGCTCTGGTTGTTAGAAGGGGCATCGGCCTCATGGCTTCCGAAGGAACTCGGCCTTGAACCTGAGGCGTCATATTTCTTCTAAATGAAGACTTTCTAACTCCCAAGGCAGAGTTTAAATGGTTTGAGTTATTTTTTCTGGTTAGCGTTTTTTTAGCGAGTTAGTTTTCTACGGGATGGGGACGCTAACCCCATGCCCAACCCTCCGCCTTTACCCGGGCTTGGGACCGGCAGTAACTCTGGAAGAGCTACAGGCATCTAAAGCAAAAGAGATGGAAAAGGCGGCGGCTATAGGTAACACCAAACAGCTCTTCAGACCCATAAAAGAAACTGGAACTAAAATGTCAGCTGTAAGTGAGACTATCTCGGAAAAAGACGACGTTCTTATCTGCTCCTAGTCCAGACGTTTAGAACGATGGGCGGAACATTTTAGAGAAAAGTACAGCTGGCCTTCAGCTACTCTACAACTACCCACCATTCCCAGACAGTGTGAATGGAACATTGAAGTAGGTCCCCCAAATCTAGCTGAAGTTCATAAGGCTATAGCTAATCTGAAACGAGGTAGGGCATCTGGTCCAGATGGACTGGCCCCAGAAGTCTTTAAGTATGATGGTCCAATCTTAGCGATTAGGTTGACTAATATTTTGGCTAAAATCTGGGAGTTGGATGTAATCCCATCTGACTGGTCACAATCACTTATCGTCCCAATATATAAGAAGGGATCGAAATCGTCCTGTGACAACCATAGAGGGATTAGTTTGACTAATATAGTATCTAAAATACTAGCCTCAATAATTATCGGACGCCTAACTAAGACTCGTGAACTGCAAACACGAAAGAATCAAGCTGGCTTCAGACCTGGTCGTGGATGAATAGACCACATATTCACCATTCGTCAGGTTCTAAAACACAGGCATACTTATCAGCGTCCGACAATGGTGGTCTTCCTTGACTTAAAAGTAGCATTTCACTCGGTAGACCGAGAGGTTCTGTGGCAGTGTCTGTCATTGAAAGGCGTACCTCAGCAGTACATAAACCATGTGAAGGCTCTTTACTCGAACACTACTAATCGAGTAAGAGCTTATGGCGAACTGTCATCTGCTTTTGCAACCTCAAGTGGTGTCCGCCAAGGCTGTCCACTTTCTCCATTTTTGTTTAACTTCATCATAGACCTACTGATGGAAATAACATTCTCGTCGACTGAATTCTCGGGCATTGATCTCCTTCCAGGAGGTCCACTTATCGACTTAGAATACGCAGATGACATAGTCCTGTTTGGTGAAGACGCTGATAAAATGCAGAGTCTTTTGGTAGCACTGAGCAACAATGCCAGAATGTTTGGGATGCGCTTCTCTCCCTCTAAATGCAAGTTGTTGCTTCAGGACTGGTCTGCGTCAACACCTGAACTAAGGATAGGGAGTGAAATAGTCGAACGCGTTGACAACTTCACTTATCTTGGAAGTCTGATCAGCCCAAATGGGTTGGTGTCTGACGAAATCTCAGCACGGATTCGAAAAGCTCGTTTGGCTTTTGCCAACTTACGTCACCTCAGCAAGAATCATCATAAGGAATGGATGTCCATCGAAACTGTGAGCAGGATTCAAGAAAGGACGAACAAGGCAGCAATTAACAACAGTCGAACACGATCAGAAAAGGTCATGGCACAGACCGAATACACAGAAAAAAACATGAGAGTGAAGAAGAACAGTAGATCCGACAAGCAGAAATAAGTGTAAGATCTAGCAATGGTAGCGGAGAAAGATGCAAGTGAAGGAAATGTGTGACAAATACAAGGTATAAGGAAGAAACTGGTAGGGAAATATAGTAAACTAAAGTGACCAGTCAAGAACACAGAAGGCAAACCAATCACTGGGATTCAAGAACAGAGGAACAGATGTGAAGAATACTTCGAATAGCTCTTTAATAGAACAACTACGCTGAACCCACCAGACGTCGAAGCACCACACACTGATTTCCCAATGAATTTCACTCGATCAGCGATCGAAGAAGTGAATATAAGTATCAGACATAGCAAGAGTGGGAAAGCATCAGGACTAGATAACACACCCGTTGAAGCACTGAAGTCAGACATAGAAGCAACTGCAAACATGCTCCATATTCTATTGATAAAGACTTTTGAGGAAGAACAAGTGCCAACAGATTGTAAAGGTTGGTGTCTGACGAAATCTCAGCACGGATTCGAAAAGCTCGTTTGTCTTTTACCAACTTACGTCACCTATGGTACACTACTTGGTTGGTATTCGCCTGACTATCATAACCAACTCAGTCTTCTCTCTGTACTATATCCTTATATGCAATCTTTGTTTTATATACTACTACCATTGAATGAACCACTCCTATGAATTCGGTGTTCATCTTGCTGTGCTAATGAGGTGTGGCGTCTTGAACTGATGTTTATATGTGCCAGGTCCTACGTTGTAGCTGACTAGTTGTGCATATATATATATATATATATATATATATATATATATATATATATATATATATATATATATATTTACTGAACCAATCAAGCAAGTGTGTGTGACAATGGTAACAATCAAATAGATTACATATTTATTCAAGTAAATCCTGATAAAGATCTAACTGACATAAATAACGTTCTTTTATATGTATTGTTGTTGTCTACAGTTTAGACAGTGTTATGACGCATTAAGATGATTTAACCAAATCTATCTACGCAGCTGTAATACTACGTGTATACTTGTATGTATGGTTACTTTCATTTCTAACTGTGTATGTACTCAGATACTTGTTACCGTCTTTTCAAAAGTTTTCACTGTGATATCTTTTTATTATAGTGCTGTCATTATATTGTTACTCATTTCTCTCCCCCCCTCAATTTTTAGACTGTAACAATTGCTGTATATGGATATTTTGGTACATGTTTACTTGCATGGCAGTATTTAGACCCATCGAAAAAATATGAAGGTCATGATGTTGATATTTATGTGCCAATTTTCGGTTTACTACGTTTCTTCTTCTATATTGGATGGCTGAAGGTTAGTTCCATGTAGTATGTCTTTACACGTTAATTGATACCACGTTCAAACGTCACTAACCAGAATTCTGATTAGAATTGTTTCCTGTTTTATGTCTACTATTTCTTCTGTACTCTAATATACTAGACTTGACGTTCACAGTTAACCTTGAACCGATGCATGCTAAGCTCTTACAGGCTCGATACCCCCAAGCTTTTTTCTATCCCTTTCGTTGAGTCCAATGGCGAATCAACAGCAAACTGGAAACGATCAGCTGTATCGTAATGCCTTATTAGTTGAAGATAAGCTGTATGAACCAATCGTTGGTCACCGGCTACCATGGGACTGCATCTACTTACGATGCTCCACTGCCTTGTGAGTCAGACGTTCAGGTCAAAGGCTCGGGGTGTGGCCCCCTAAGAAAACCACCTGCTTCGGTTTGGGCACCCGGGCAGTATCACAGCCCTCACACAAATCAATTGAGATTTGTGTGGCGCATATGTATTTGGTGCCTCCCTGTACCTATACTTATGTGTTAAAATAAATAAAATAAATGAAGATAAGCTAACGATAACGAATTTATAAACATAGTAATTCAGTTATTTAGTAATTTGTCAATAAGAATCCATAAATTATAGGCAGAGATGGATAGTGACTAGCAGTGGAATTTAGGACGTTCGTTTCGTTTTGTTTTGGACTTTTCAGTTGGATTTACCTGCATCCCTAATTTGATATTCACTCTGAGACTTGAACCCACTACCGATCACTTCAAACTCCATCTCGTTATTCAGATAGTTTCTAGCTTGTGCAATGGGTTGAAGTTTTAATTTTTATTTTATATTGCTTGTTTGAATCTTTCCATTGATGTTTAGAACTGAGGTTGATCCACCAAATAGTTTCTGGAGTTATCGGTCCTTCAATCTTCGTTCTGAAACATTATCACTGGTGAACAAGCAGTAGAAATTAATAAATATTTAGTTGATACTCTTCAATACCTGTTTATTAATGTATCCAACTGCTTCTACGTACATTTATTTTATTTTGTTTTCAATAAAAGTTTCTCATAATAGATCGTATTATGCATTAGAATTCTGTTACACAATTTAGAAACTGAATGATAATTCACACAGAGCCTTTATAAATCAAGCGTATTTAACTAATAGAAATAAGATTTATAAAATTATAGTGGTTTAATGAAGCCTATTAGTTTCCTAAACCCATAATATAAATATTCAACTTTAATAATAATAGAAATATTACTGTAGAATTTTGTCCTAATCAATGTGAATCAGTTTCTTTCTGGATTATTCTAAATAGTGATAAATACTTCTATGGAATATTTTCAATTATGACAAATTTATCGAAAAGTTGATTAAATAGAGTGATTTATTTTAACATTTTTACTCGCATTCTCTCAAAATGCTCTCACATGGCCACGCGTATATAGCCTCTGCCAGGGAAGTCCTACTCAATGCCTTCTCGTGGCGGGGGTGTTGTTTACCAAGTTGAGAGGACGAAGAGCGAATGTCTGGCGCTTTAACCGGATTCTAAACCAATGGTGCACATGGGCACCAGTATCCTGAAGGAACGAATGGCGTATGAACCAATCATTGGTCAACGGGTACCATGGGACTGCATCTCCTCACGATGCTCCACTGCCTTGTGGGTTAGACCCTTAGGTCGAAGACTCGGGGTGTGACCCCCTATGAAAACCACCTGCTTCGGTTTGAGCACCCGGGCAGTATCACAGCCGTCGCACAAACCAAATGAGATCTGTCTGGAGCATATGTATTTTATGCCTCCTTCTAACAATATCTATGTGTTCAAATAATGATAATAATTTCACTATGAACAAAGATTTAAAAAGCAATGATCCTTAGTTATTACTACCCAATAAACATGTACGCTGTTTTATACTGTCATTTTCAATTTAAAATGTTAGAATCGAAATCTTTCTATCAATAATCAAAGTTTTAAGGACTCTGTTTATAGGGAGGTATGTTTTCAAGGTTTCTCGTTTTAAAGTTTTTTTTTTTAATTTAAAAAACACCATTCTCTTTCTTGATTCTGATATTCTCAACTCTACTGTGTATTTATATCCTACTTGAATATTTTATAGCTTAATTCGACTTGTAATTTGTATTGTTACTAATAGGTTGCAGAGTCATTAATTAATCCATTTGGTGAAGATGTTGACGATTTTGAAATTGAATATTTAATTGAAAGAAATTTACAAGTGAGTTATTTTGTATGTTTAGTTATAATTCACTTTAATATGATATATATATTCTACAGCGATTCGGAAGACTCTTCAGGTATCCCACATTGTACTAACATTCCATGGACCTAAATTAATGATTGCTCTGGTTGTTAGAAGGGCTATCAGACTTGTAACTTCCGAAGGAACTAGGCTTTTACCATAAGGTGTCATAACTCTTCTAAATGAAGGCCTTCTAACTCCTAGGGTAGAGTTTAAATGATTTGAATTATTTTTTCTGGTTAGCGTTTTTTAGCGAGTTAGTTTTCTACAGGATGGTGTCGCTAACCTCATGCCCAACCCTCCTCTCCTTTATCCAGGCTTCAGAACGGCAGTAGCCCCAGCGGGGCTATATATATATATATCTCGGCATCAGTTGAGTATTAATCAAGATGATCCATGAAGTCATTGACAAGTGGACTGAGTCATGTTGGTAGGTGTAGACTACCTGGTTGGGATCCGCGAGTTGATAGCAACCGATGGTTAGAAACCCTGAATGACATGGCTCAAAATGGCTTGCAATGGCGCAGGTGCATCAACGCTTTGTGTCTTCCCGAATTCTAATCTTCTTAATTCTTCATGTCCCTTTTTTCTCTTTCCAAATTGATTTAACTGAATTATACTCCTTGAATAATATCTTCAGACCCTAATCTTTCAGATCACTGCTTATACTTTTACTACCCCTACCACTATGGGATTTGAATCGACAATTGTATCTGTGTGCTAATGTGGTATGGTAACTCGGACTGATGTACGAACGTACGAAGTTCTACGTTGTTACTGACTGACTGATTATTTCAATAATTTTAATATACCTTGTTTTACACTTATTTGAACTAAGTAGAATTTTTTTGTAATAATTGATTTAAGTAATTTATCCATGCTACATCATGATTTTATATATGCCATGATTAATATATTCTAAATGCATATATATATGCACGTTTTAGTAATTTTCTATGGAAATTTAAGATTGCATTATGTAAAAAGAAAAAAATACATGAATGTACTTTTATTTGTATGTAATCTTTACAAAATATAATGTATATTGAATAGAACGAGCATAAAGCATAAACGATGACATTTATTGTCATATTGAATAAATCTGTCCTATATATCATTTCACTTAAGTAATGATATTCAAATAATCATATCTGTTTATTTTTTTATCTCTTCCAAAAAATGATTTCTATCCATTTAGAAAATTTAATTTTCAACTCATTGAAATATTATAAGTATATCATTAGACTTAAAAGTGGTTTTTTTAAAGTACAATATTCCAAATGATCAACAAATACTTACTTATTGACTTACACCTGTTTCTTCCAATGGGGCATAGGTCGCCGACCATCATTTTCTAACACACACTCTCTCCTGGGTCTTCCTTTCCAGTTCTATCCTATTTTCGTTCATTTTTCTCATGTCTATCTCCATTTCCCGGCATAGTGTGTTCTTTGGTCTTCCTCTTTGCCTTTGTCATCGAGGATTCCATGTGGGGGTTTGCCTTGTGCGCAGTTGGATGCTTTCTTCAATGTGCGCCCTATCCACTTCCAGCGCTTCTTCCTGATTTATTCCTCCGCTGAGATCTGGTTTGTTCTTTCCCGCAGTAGGTCGTTGCTAATGGTGTCCGGCCCCCAAATGCCCTGGTATGGCCGAGAGTGGGGTGGGTTCGCCCTCCCTCTCGATATACTCTCACACGGCCACGCGTATATAGCCTCTGCCAGGGAAGTCCTACTCAATGCCTTCTCGTGGCGGGGGTGTTGTTTACCAAGTTGAGAGGACGAAGAGCGAATGTCTGGCGCTTTAACCGGATTCTAAACCAATGGTGCACATGGGCTCCAATATCCTGAAGGAACGAATGGCGTATGAACCAATCATTGGTCAACGGGTACCATGGGACTGCATCTCCTCACGATGCTCCACTGCCTTGTGGGTTAGACCCTTAGGTCGAAGACTCGGGGTGTGACCCCCTATGAAAACCACCTGCTTCGGTCTGAGCACCCGGGCAGTATCTTAGCCTACAGACAAATATAATGATAATGAAAAAGTGAGAAGAAATCGGCGTAAGAAACGATGTCTTTTCGTCATCTCCGCCTATGCCCCGACAGATTGCAGCCCGGATGCAATCAAGGATGAGTTCTACCACCAGTTATCTGTTATTTTCCAGAAAGTGCGTTCGACAGATATTGTAGTACTAGCCGGAGACTTGAATGCTCTGGTCTGCGCCAATCTTACCTTACTTTTCAGTGGACAACGAAGTGACCACCACCAAGGGATTGACGTTAGCAAGCTGGTTGCAACTTCTGTTGCTAGTAAGTATCGAACCGAGCTAGCTTCTAGGCTAGCTACCATTCCACCGAAAAGTATAGATGAGCATTGGTTGCAATTGCATGACGCCACGAAAATGGCGGGTACAGTCTGTTGTGGGTTCGCGAAACGTCCCGCTTACAAGCACTGGGTTTCTTCTGGTTCCTTACAACTCATTGAGGCCCGTCGGTCTACTCCGGGTGACCGTGAGTTTGACCACAGACGAAGAATGTTACGTAACGAAATCGGGCAAAGCTTGCGTAAGGACCGAGAAGCCTGGTGGTCGGAGCGTGCTAATGAGCTGGAAGCAGCAGCTGCATCTGGTAATTACCGGAAGCTCTTCCAACTCATCCGAGCCACTGGCAGCAAGAAGTCTGGTGTGAGCGAAACAATCTGCGAGGATGACGGAACGCCAATCACTAACCTATCGACGTCTTGGACGATGGGCAGAATTTTTCGGAGGGCAGTTCAACTGGCCTGCTGCTCCGGCAACATCGGTCAGACTGTCCTGTCCTCCATGGCCGGTGACGAACTGATCCACCAAATGAGGCGGAAGTCCGCAAGGAACTCCAACTCTTGAAACGTTACAAATCACTGGGCCCATACAACTTACCTCCGGCTCTTTATAAAGATGGTGGTGACTTTCTGACTAAGGGACTAACGACGTTGTTTGCAAAGGCCTGGGAACTAGAGAGTGTACCAACGTCATGGAATGAGTCGATAGTTGTCCCTATCTTTAAAAAGGGTTCACGTCGTTCCTGTAACAACTATCGGGGGATAAGTCTACTTCCGATTGCGTCCAAACTATTGGCTTCCATCATACTTCGTAGATTGTTCAAAACCCGAGAAAGATTGACTCGCGAGGAGCAGGCTGAGTTTCGTTCCGGTCGAGGATGTATTGATCACATCTTCACCCTCCGCCAAATGTTAGAACACTGTCATACTTATCAAAGGCTAACAATCGTAGTGTTTCTTGACATCAGGGCTGCCTTCGATTCGTTGGACAGAACTGTTCTCTGGGATTGTCTATTGAAGAAGGGTGTGCCTGAGAAGTTTATTAACATCCTAAAAGCCCTATACACAAACACCTCAGGCAGAGTGAGGGCATACAACCACCTTTCTCCATTATTCCATTCAAGCAGTGGGATTAGGTAGGGTTGCCCAATCTCACCATTCCTCTTCAATTTTGCCATCGATGACATTCTGGAAACAGCTCTGATGGATGTAAGTAATGGTGGTGTGGTTCTGTTGCCTGGAGAAAGACTTCTCGACCTTGAGTATGCGGATGATATTGTCTTACTGTGCGAGAATGTCCAAGCCAAGCAATCCGCACTTAATCAGTTGGCAATCAATGTCCGTAGGTATGGTATGTGCTTTGCACCTTCGAAGTGCAAAGTACTTCTACAAGACTGGCAGGATTCTAAGCCTGTACTCACTCTGGATGGTGAGCAGATAGAAGTAGTCGAGAAGTTCGTGTATCTGGGTAGCTGCATAAGTGCTGGTGGTGGTGTGAGTGAGGAGATCAATGCACGTATAGTGAAAGCCAGAGCGGCTTATGCCAATCTGGGCCATCTTTGGCGCCTTCGTGATGTTAGTCTGGCTGTAAAAGGTCGGATCTACAACGCGTCGGTGAGAGCAGTTTTGCTCTATGCTTGTGAAACCTGGCCTCTCCGAGTTGAGGATGTTAGACGACTCTCTGTGTTCGATCATCGCTGTCTCCGATGGATTGCTGACATCCAGTGGCAACACCATGTTATTAATGCAGAGGTTCGGCATTATGTGTTCGGGCACAGAGACGATAATGCAATTGGTGTCACCATCTTAGACATGTTCTACGAATGTCATTCTAGAGAATTCCTCGTCGTGCATTATTTTCCGACTCTGGGACAGGTTGAAAAAAGCGGAGAGGTGGTCAGTATATGACATGGTGTCGTGGTATAAAAGAAAGCTGAAAAGGGTTGGCTTGTGTTGGCCCTTCACGATTCCTTGGCTGGGGTCCGAGAGATGGTGTAACACAGTGGCTAGAGACGTTATCAGATATGGCTCAGAATAGAAGCCAGTGGTGATCCTGCTGTAACCTTCATTTTCCTTCTTCATAAAATATGGTTGCTTCTTCTTTAACTATAAGATACCATTTCGTTTCCCCCATTAGTGTTCTTTTGTTTTATAATTCCCTACGTTCCTTACCTTTTTCCCTTCTTAAATTCTCATTGTTTTGTGTGGCGCATATATATTTGGTGCCCCGCTGTGCCAATATTTATGTGTTGAAATAAACAAATAAACGTCCGACCAACGTGTCCGATGTATTTCTCGTAGACAACTGTTAATAAACACTAGTATATTCTGGATGATGGCTTTCTTAGTTCTCCAGGTTTCCGCCCCATGCAGTAGAACTCTTTTGATATTTGTATTGAAAAATTTGAATTTGCTGCTGTTTGACAGATAGTTGTTTTGAGTTTTAGATGTTCATCAATTGTAGATATGCTGTTCTGGTTTTTTCGACTCGCGTCCTCACATCTGAATCAGATCCATCGTGCACATCAATGATGGTGTCCAGATATGTAAAGTATTTTACATTTTTCAAATCTTTTCCGTCAATTGTGATTAGATTGTTGCGTGCTGTGTTGTATCGGAGAATCTTGCTTTTCTCTTTTTTTTATGTTGAGATCTGCTGCTGCTACACTGGTCGTGTTTTCATGCATTTGTTGTTGCGTACGAGATAGAAGAGCCAGATCATCTGTGAAGTTTAGATCGTCCAGCTGAATTCTAGCTGTCTACTGTCTCCCGTACTTAACATACCTCAACGGTTTCACCAATAGTTCGAGAAAACAACACAGTTTATTTCTTACGATAAATGAATTACAAGTATTCGAGTTTAAATAATTACTTTTACAAATCACGTAGATAAAACGTGGTAGAAACAAAAACATAACTTCAAATAACTATGATTACGTGGAATGTTTCTTCAACATAGAATGATTCAATTTATCATGTGGTTTATCACTGATTAATTTTTTATTTTCTCCTGGTTGTAGATTATTTATTGGCATTGTCAATTTTCAAAGAGATATATTTGTAGACAACATTGAAGTCAATATTTTTTTTCGCTCTAAAAAGAGCAATTATTAGATAAGGTAATTAAAAGAATAGATTGTATCAAATAAAAGGATTCTACACGTGCATAGAGATATCAAAAATAATCAAGTTTTCAAAGCTGATTGATATTGATAAAAGTAATCGAAATCTGATCATCACAAACGAATACTTAAGAAGAGTTTTTACAATATTCTCTTGATTAACTATGATACATATTGGCAGATTTCATACACGTAGTTCACTTTATTATCTTAAAAAGAGAAAGATCAAAGATTGGTGCAGAATAATAAATGGATTCATTTTTATTTCGTTAGGTTCTCATCAGCTATTTACAATCTAAAATATTTGAAAATCAACGTTATTACAGATATTGACATAATTATATATAAGTACGGGGTTGATTAAAGACGTATCATCATGATGTAGCGAACATTTCAATAGAGTTAATAAGGTTAGCAGTGCCATCGCAAGATATCTCCTTGACACAGGATATGAAGTCGATACACTAAAGTCCTTCAAACAATCAAACTTCAACCTTTTGAAATTCAACGAAGCCATAGCAATCAAACGTCCAAAATCAG